CTCTCTCTCTCTCTCTCTCTCTTCTTTGATCCCCCAACCACAAAGTTGTCTCTCAGGTGTGGGCCATGGAGGGCTTAGACCCCAGTCTCACGTTGCCGTCCCCCACAACCCTCCCTGCCCCGCCCTGCAGCCGTCCTCCTCCTGGGTTTCTGTCTTGGGCTAGATGCATTCTTTCCTTCTCCTCACAGCCCCACCCCATCAGCACCAAACACCCCACCCTGAACTACTCCGTAAGGAAAACACGCATCCGCACTCTGGCCGTTTGCACACCCCTTTCAAACACTCTTGTCACTCCTGTTTCCCCCACACTCATACGTACACACGCACCCCATTCTTCTGTGACTCCCCCACATTTTGCCCTGCCTCCGGACTCACTTCTCTCCAGTCTCCCCTCCAGCTTCCTTCTGCACATGCAGAGCCCCCTCCCCAGACTGCCCCACCACCTTTCACCCCCCAGAGCACAACCCTAATCCCAGCATCCTTTCCCACAAACACTCCACTCTCCTGCTCGCTGTCCCCCAGCTCGAGCCTGCACCACACTTGGTCAGGCAGAGGGATCCAGGGCGGTGACACCTTGAACCTCAGCCTGCCGTCCACCCCACCCCTCTGTGACCCCTGCTTCTCCCTTGCCCACCCTACTGTCCTCACTTGTCCTCCCCTCACCCCTTCCCTTCGTCCGGCACTGCCTTTCTTCCCACCACTTCCAGCCTCAATCCCACCCACTGGGAAATCACCCCAGCTTTCCTTTATTCAGCCTCATTTTTCTGAGCCCCGAGGTCTCCCCCTGCACTCCCACAGGCCCTCATGAGCCTACTCACTCTGTTCCAAGGACACAGCCATCCATCTGCAGCAGACACGGGTCTCCCTCCCTCATCCTGGAATCCCCGTGCTTCGCCTGCTTGCTTCAGAACAGATCGCCTCCCTGGCTCTTCCCCTCCCCCGGCCTCTCCTTCTCCATGTCTCCTGGATCCCAGGACAGCATCTTCTGTGGTTTCCTGTCCTGTGGTCCCCGTGCCCCTTCTTTACCCAAAAGCAGAATCAGAGACAGGATGCTTAGGGAGAAAGTTCACAGAATCTGAATGCTGCTTTCAGAAACTCAGCTGGTGCTGAGGCGGCTGGGGTATGTGGTTTCCGCCAGAGCCAGGTCTTCGCCTCCCTCCCCTTTCCCTGCTTCTCTCCCCTCCCTCCATCCCCCCTCCCTTTTTCACTCCCTTTTTTTCCTCGAGGGCCAGGTACTGACGTTTCACTGTCTCTTAGCAACTGCCTCCACATCTCTGAGCAACAGGAGAACGGGCTATGGACCCCACCACAATGAGAGAGGAGAGAACGAAACCCTCGGCAGAATTCACAACCATCCCCAGGATCCTAGTGACAGGACAAGGGGAAGACAGGGAGGGGAGGGGAGGCAGGACCAGACAGGGGCAGGGGGAGAGGAGCAGGCAAGGGGAGAGGGCAAAGGGGCCCAGTGGGAGAGATTCGAGTAGGGGCAAGGCTTGGATCGACAGTCAGGAGATGGGGGAGGGAGAGCTAAGGGCATCAGACCCAGAAGAGAAAATAAAGAGGGTTTGGATAAAGAAAGGGACACGGTGTGTATGTGTGTGTGTGGGGGGGGGGGGGGGGTTGGGGGGGACTGAAGACATGAATAGGATGGAAAGGAAAAAGAGAAGTGCAAGTGACAAGTTTGCTCGCTTGATGGGAGATATTTATTTAGGTGCTATATAACACCTGCTTCCCTGGTCTGAATGTGTTTTGGTCTCCAGGTACCAGGTGACTGGCTCAGGGCTTGTTAGGTACAATTATAGGAGGTGATTTTTTTCTGTTTTTTTTGTCTCTCAGTCCTGACCTCATAAGCTCTCTGGAGCTAGGAGGCTTGGCTGGAGTAGACCAATTTCCCCTGGGCTTGGGATCTGAGAGCCTTTGGGATCCGAAAATTCAACCACCTGGCCCAGATGGGGGTACCTGGGCTGCTGTCTCTACAGCAGTGGAAGCTTGTAGTACTTACTCCTTTCTCCAGGCCCCAGGAACTCTGTCTGTTGTCCTGTTCCCATCTCTACAAGCTTTCCGTTCCCCTATACCCCCAGAATGGTTTCAGATGGGGTTAACTTTTTGCAAGACTTTTTTTCTTACTGATCCACTGAACAAGTCTCTAGCTTTCCTGTATTTTTAAAACTGGCTTGACCAGTTGGTTTGGTCAAAGAGCTGGCTCGTTTCTTTGTTTTAATAAATATTTATTGAGCATTTGCTGTGTGCTGGGTACCTGACAAGAAATGGATGTAGATTCTTTTTTCATGAGACTGATATTGGCCTGTGTTTTCAGTCAGTTGAATGGGGCCCTCTTGCATATAAGTAATGTCTTAGGTCATTTAGGGAACCAAAATGGACTCATAGAAAACAACCAGTATGAAGTTATACAGATATAACTTGTATATAGAGATAACTGGGCATTTACAAAGTTCTCAAAATATTTGATGTTATCCTCTCTAACATGATTCTTTTTCCTATATGGTCATGAAATGTTTGCTTTCCTCTGTGTTCTCTTCTATTATGCTCATTTTGAATCATTCATGTCTATAGTGTCTAGTGCAGAGTAACGTGGTAGGCGCTTCATAAATATATGTATATTGAATTGATGGAGTTAAACGTGATTTGCATCTCGGTGTCGGTGAAGGGCCATAATAATCATATACAGTGTATATTGACAAAATAAAAAAAAAAATATGATATTGAATTGATGGAGTTAAACGTGATTTGCATCCCTGCCTCCGTTAAAGAAGAGAACGGTTGTTCAAACTTATTTATGAGTTTAGAAATGAAATC